CAGGAACGTTGCCTTATATCTCTTCCATATGTGCGATGAAACAAAAAAAATCAACAGCCCTTTTTCTCAGGAAGTCTCCCATGCAAGTACTAACCACGCCCGATTGTCATTTACTTTAAACATCGGTAGGTCACCTAACCACACGGCTGTATGGATTATTTGAAATTAAGCCGAATAGGCGGGTATTTCATGTTTTTGAAGGTTTTAAAAAGATATCGCTTGCACAGGTACTTTCTAGAATTGACCTATGACATCTACATACTTTGAGTAACATTATGATGATTTAACAGCCATTTACGAAACATTTGTTCACGTTTTTGAACATTCAACTATTGGACTTGTTAATATGATATCACAAGTAACATTTCCTAATGAAACTACCAACTTTGCAATCGCTTTTCACAATTTTGTAAGCAGTTTGTTAACGGTTTTTCGGTTAGTTGTTGTGATAATATACTTATATACGAGCCATTCTCAGAACATTTACATAACGTTTTCAAAATTTAACTGCGGGGTTGTCATGACAATGACTTAAGTTAAAATATAAGCATCTCCTCCAATATTTTCTTCGCTTTTTTCAAGTTTGCATGCTGTTTTCTAAGATTTTACAGTCAGCTAATGGGAACTTATATAGGCTGCCTTCAACTGGCTTTTATTAAATGTGTCGACATTACAAATGCGCGTTTCTATATGCCAACAACTTAGGTCATATATACAAATACATCTACCAACTTTGCAATAATTTTCCACAACTTTGCAGTCACTTTGAACAACTTTGCACGAGTTGTTAACAGCGTAAAACGCGCTACGTGCCGACATCATTAACAACATGTTCTTGAAAATTAGAAGAAATTTGGAAAATTTTCCACAATTAAAAAAGTTACAAAAATTCTACGATTTTCCGCTATAAATGATTGACATCACGGTAAAAAAATACAGGAACGTTGCCTCATATCTTTTCCATATGTGCGATGAAACAAAAAAAAATCAACAGCTCGTTTACTCAGGGAGTCTCCCATGCAAGTACTAACCACGCCCGATTGTCCTTTACTTTAAACATCGGTAGGTCACCTAACCACACAACTGTATGTATTATTTGAAATTAAGCTGAATAGGCGGGTATTTCATGTTTTTTTTAAGGTTTTAATAAAGATATCGCTTGCACAGTTGCCTTCTAGAATTGACCTATGACATCTACATACTTTGAGTAACATTATGGTGATTTAACAGCCATTTACGAAACATTTGTTTACGTTTTAGAACTTTCAACTATTGGACTTGTTAATTTGATTTCACATGTAACATTTCCGAATGAAATTTACAACTTTGCAATCGCTTTTCACAACTTTGTAAGCAGTTTGTTATCGATATTTCGATTAGTTGTTGTGATAATATTCTTATATACGAGGCATTCTCGGAGAATGTACTTAAAGTTTTCAAAATTTAACTGCGGGGTTGTCATGACAATGACTTAGGTTAATATATAAGCAACTCCACCAACATTTTTTTCGCTTTTTTCAACTTTGCATGCTGTTTCCTAAGATTTTACAGTCAGCTACTGGGAACTTGTATAGGCTGCCTTCAACTGTTTTTTGTTAAATGTGTCGACATTACAAATGCGCGTTTCTATATGCCAACAACTTAGGTCATACATAAAAATACATTTACCAACTTTGCAAAGTACATGCTAATGCATCACTCAAAACTCGTAGTGATGGTATGTGTCAAAGTACAATCTAATGCACCACTCAAAACTCACAGTGATGGTACGTGTCAAAGTTCATTTCAACGCACCACTCAAAACTCGTAGTGATGGTATGTGTCAAAGTACAATCTAATGCACCACTCAAAACTCACAATGATGGTATGTGTCAAAGTTCATTCTAATGACACCACTGAAAATTTACATTGATGGTACGTGTCAAAGTACATTCTAATGCACCACTCAAAACTCACAGTGATGGTATGTGTCAAAGTTCATTCTAACACGCCACTCAAAACTCAGTGATGGTATGTGTCAAAGTTTATTCTAATGACACCACTGAAAACTTACATTGATGGTATGTGTCAAAGTACATAAATGCACCACAAAAACTCGTAGTGATGGTATGTGTCAAAGTACAATCTAATGCACCACTCTAACCTCACAGTGATGGCATGTAGGGTACAACTAACCTGTCTCACGACGGTCTAAACCCAGCTCACGTTCATTTTTCATAACAGTGGGATTTTCTTCATAATCAGTCCAATGTCAGGTTATAAGCTACAAGGTTAATTTCTGCAAAGCGTCAGTACGTGTCAAAGTACGTTATAATGCACCACTCAGAACTTACATTGGTAGTATGTGTCAAAGTACATTCTAATGTACCACTCAAAACTCGCAGTGATTGTATGTGTCAAAGTACATTCTAATGCACCACTCAAAACTCGCAGTGATTGTATGTGTCAAAGTTCATTCTAACACACCACTCAAAACTCAGTGATGGTATGTGTCAAAGTTCATTCTAATGACACCTGTGAAAACTCAGTGATGGTATGTGTCAAAGTTCATTTCAACACACCACTCAAAACTTACATTGATGGTATGTGTCATAGTACATTCTAATGTACCACTCAAAACTCGCAGTGGTGGTATGTGTCAAAGTACATTCTAATGCACCACTCAAAACTCGCAGTGATGGTATGTGTCAAAGTACATTCTAATGCACCACTCAAAACTCACAGTGATGGTATGTGTCAAAGTACATTCTAATGCACCACTCAAAACTCGCAGTGAGGGTATGTGTCAAAGTACATTCTATTGCACCACTCAAAACTCGCAGTGATGGTATCTGTCAAAGTACATTCTAATGCACCACTCAAAACTCGCAGTGAGGGTATGTGTCAAAGTACATTCTAATGCACCGCTCAAAACTCGCAGTGAGGGTATGTGTCAAAGTACATTCTATTGCACCACTCAAAACTCGCAGTGATGGTATCTGTCAAAGTACATTCTAATGCACCACTCAAAACTCGCAGTGAGGGTATGTGTCAAAGTACATTCTATTGCACCACTCAAAACTCGCAGTGGTGGTATCTGTCAAAGTACATTCTAATGCACCACTCAAAACTCGCAGTGATGGTATGTGTCAAAGTTCATTCTAATGCACCACTCAAAACTCGCAGTGAGGGTATGTCAACCTCACAGTAAGGGTATGTGTCAAAGTACATTCTAATGCACCACTCGAAACTCAGTGATGGTATGTGTCAAAGTACATTCTAATGCACCACTCGACACTCAGTGATGGTATGTGTCAAAGTTTATTCTCACGCACCGCTCAAAACTCAGTGATTGTGTGTGTCCAAATTCAATTTTGATTCAACAAAACAATATTAAGTTTAGCGAGGTGCTAAGGCTGATTCAAGACATCTGGCTCAAATTCCGATGAATTCGAAGCATATTCTAATCCACCACTCAAAACTCACAGTGATGGTACGTGTAAATGTTCATTTCAACGCACCACTAAAACCTCACAGGGATGGTATGTGTCCAAGTACATTCTAATGCATCTATAAAAACTCACAGTGATGGTATGTGGCAAAGTTCATTCTAACGCACCACTCAAAACTCGGTGATGGTATGTGTCAAAGTTCATTCTAATGGCACCAGCTCACTAAATCAAACGGCAATTTCAAGAATGTAACTGTAATTCATATCAGTAATAATATATGACAATTTCAGTCCAATATTACTGTAATTGATTAGATATATTAATGTACGGCAATAATACAGATTTGTTTGACGTCATTTTCCATTCAACATATTGCTTTATTATCTGAGTCAATGACATGACGGTTGTGTCTTGGAATTATAATAAAGATGCAATATAATTATCACTTTGTTTCGAATATATTTAAATATCACAATTCATATATAAATGGGTATTTGTGAGTAGAGCTTAACATTATTACGCGATAAATACGATAGCTCGTCCAATAGCACTCATTAAGACAACTGTAATTTTCACACTTATCACACTTATCACACTTGATATAGTAATACAGAAGTTAGCTCAACATCTACTTTTCAGCGGTGCACATTAGTCTGAAGCCTGCACCCGTCATACGTAGCTGTTGATCTCATAACAGGAAGCAGTCATAAACACACATACTCAATTAGATACAACTGAGTGTTAGATTGAGACTGAAACATTAAAGTGTATACTAATATTAACACATTTTGTTGTGATATTCAGAATGAGCGTTTATTAACGCACATAGTAATCATTTTTTCAAGTGGTTGGCATGGCAATATGAATGAATGTGATTCTAATTTCAACCTCGCTGTTTATCGTGAACTGTCAACCTCCAAAACTAGCCTCTTAAAATTAACAGTTTTTTTGTAATTTGTCCGTACCTATCATTTCCAAGTGTGGATTTATGCAATTCCATAAAAGCTGTAACTGAACAAAGGTGATTCTTTTTTACGTAAGCAGATTTCTGGGATTCCGCCCAAATATGCAAATGGAGTCTGCTAGGATCAACAACTTGCGATTTTGTGTCAAATTTTGTGTTGTTTTATTGTTATAAAAACATTTGTTTGTTTGACCAGAATGTGGTGTCATGAAATGAAGGAAATGCGTGGTTTGTTTATATCCAATGTGACAGAAATAATGAAATATGAAAATTGTTGGAAAAACGTTCAACAATAAGTTGCAACGATATGAACTGACACTAATCACCAGGAGCATGTTAAGTTATGTTCAATAAAACTGAAATAATTAGGTTTTTGTTCAAACAATCAAACCAGTATTGGATCATTTTAAACAAAAACATTGATTTGTATTTTTGCAACATTTAATGTGTTTGGCTTGTAAAGCTGACCTATCTGCTTTTTGTGTTTTAATGTGACGTGAAACGAAGAATCACTTTTGCGCAGCTTAATTTCAGTACCCAGAAATCACGTTATGAATCGTCTTCTTTGGCTCCTTTCACCTTTTTTTTGCCTGGTTCTGTGTTTCGTACACAAGCGTTTTTTATTGTAAATACATTGATCGTTCCATATCTGGGGTAATGCTTAGACCAGCAGCTGACAATTTTACTTTCTGTCGCCCTGTAGACGGAATGTCAAACGGTTTGGTTTCACTGAAACATGCGCCCTCTGGTGACAGCATCATCTTGTCATCAGCCTCTGTTTTTGTTTTCTCGGTGCGGTAATGATGTTCTGAAAATTGTAGGTCTGATTCTGAACGCCCAGACACGTGCCGCTTGAGTAGGGAAGCACGTTTCTTCACCCGTAAGGGGTTCTCGTCATCATCATCATTGTCGTCATGGAAATAAAAATCACCTATCCCTGAGGTTAACATATCCATCGAGTCATCAGAGAAAACTTCTAAACTAGAACAACTGCTGACGTCATCGTCCAAAGTTGCAAATGACGCGTTACGTGAGGCTGTAGACACAAAATATGAACATTTTAGCTATATTAGAATCGGTAATATCACTGGAAATGATTATCTGTGAAAATTAAGACTTATTGTCTGGCAAAGAAATGATTAATTTGCCCCGTCTCTCGTAAAAAATGGTTAATCCCTGATTCACGTTGCTTACAAATTGTTGAATATATCAAAACGTCAACAGTATTTTGTAGTGCTCTCATTGTTATGACTTACATACATTAACTTGATGTAATTGTTATGTTACGTACCAGCCATTGATGAAATTTCAAAATTGATATCCAATGAGCTATCTTCGTCGCTTTCCGCACCGACGCCCACTCCACGTGTACCCGCTGGGGGCGTCTTCATCAACTTTCTATTATCGTGGATCTCATCAGATATGCTTTCCAGGCGCCTGAGGGCGTCTGCGTATTGTTGCTTGGCGTCAGTGACAGCTTTCTGGAGATCGACCACATTTTGTTTCTGTTGTTCCAACCTAAGAGTGTACTCGGCTCTCCATTCAAAATAAGGCCTGTAAACGATGACCACTAAACTTTAAACTCTATCACATGTCACAGTGCAGAAAGAAACAAGTGTATGGAACATGGATGTCCTACTTACTTCGCTTTGGCAATATTCCTTGTTAATTTCTTTGAAAGTTGTTGAACTTTAGCGTCAGCTTCCGTGAATCTGGTAGATGTTATTCTGTGTTCCCTCTCACTCGCAGTTCTTTCCCGTTCGGCATTCAACACCTATATATTACAATATAAGTGTAAGTATAGGCAAGTTTAGTTACTAGACTCTCGTGTATTCGAGTTCCAGTCAATATTGTTCTTCGAAATGGCGGTTATTGTCATCTGAACTGAAAATATTGCCTACACGTGATTATAAATTTAGAGAACATGTCTGGGAATAGCGCAGTCGCAATTTACCTTCATAGTAGAATGGTTCAGCATTTCTTGCCAAGCAGTATCCATGCACCTATTTGGTTCGCTCATTAGTCGTTCCTCAGCCAGTTGAATTGCCTCCCTGGACATTCGATGGATCTCCTGGGCTTGTTGGTATTTCCTTGCTGCTCGTTGAGCCTCGACTTGAGCCTATAATTCATAAGTTATTCACGATGAGGAGGGAGGTTGGTAACTAATTATTTGGTATACATAAATATAGTAGTATAAATGATCATACTTATAATATTCCCCAAACACAAAGTCGGGCGTGTTTCTTTCAGGCGCAAATTACCAAGACGCAAACAAACGGCCTCAGAAAGTATATGTAAGTGTGGTTAATTTTGTTTTCGATTGGCTGGCTTGGGACATACCGAATGACGCATGCGTTGTCCAACAATTGTTTACTCGAATATTTTAACACAACATAAGTCGGCATTGTGTAAGGGCATTATCGGATTGTTTGAAAGCATATATACTCACAGTTTTAGATGTCTCCACGGCTTCATAGTATGGCCTTGCTTTCCGGATACACCTGCCAAGCTTCTTTGCTAGTAAGTTGAGTCGCTGAGTGTAAATGGCGGATGTCTGTCGGAATTTTGTCCTACCCTCCTGTAAAAAAATAAACCACTGTCTTTATCTAAGATATCCTTCTAAGATCGGGCTGAATAATAATATAATGTGCATTATAAAAAAAATAATAATGAAAATAATTCTAAATAAAGGTCGAAAAGTCGCCCTTTCGTTGTAATCAGTCACGTGGCGGAACCATAGAAAACTATAACGCTCGATGTACACTCATATGGCAACTGGCACATAAAATCATCAGTAAAAAGCCGTTAGAAAGAGGCTTAGCATCTCTAAATGGCAGCGTATTTGACATTTCATCGACAGCCACGGTAAATCCTCGAGGTTCACTTAACGAAATTTGATTTCTATAGATGGTGCCCCCTGAAGATCTGGACGCAACCCCGCAGCCATTTTTTTCACTTGCCAGGGATTTAATAACGTCGGTATATACCACATGCTATGCTTTCTGTGTCGGAAATTTTTACTGATGATTTTCTGACCGTTACAAATTGACACCAATGACACGGGGAAATGTTCAATAGTTAAATCAATTGCCGCTTTGAAAAGTGTTATTTTTAATTTTCTGCATATACTTACAGTTGATGGCGATAATATATATATACTTACATCATACTCATTTTCAAGCTTGTTTATTTCATCTGTTGACGAATTCAATATCTCGAGTTCTGTCTGTGGAATAGTAACATTGTATCGTGTTATTTGTGTTATTAGTTTACAGCTGTCAAAATTGCGACAAGAAAACCTCTATCTTTTCTAGTTCCTCTTGCAGCATTTGAAAAATTCTAGGAGCATTTGTGGCTGTGTTGTAATTGCTTTGCTATCCAGTAATTAATTCAATAATTGTCATCTTAGCATATGATTATAAGTGTACATATTTGACCGTTTTGCGCATTTCCATATTGGATAGGACAAGCTTTTTGTCAGAGTAAGTAAGAGCACAATGATTTCAACGTACGTAAGATCACACTGATTTCATTCAACGTAAGAGCACAATTATATCAACGTACGTAAGAGCACACTGATTTCAACGTTCGTAAGATCATTCTGATTTCAACATACGTAAGATCACTCTGATTTCAACGTACGTAAGATCACACTGATTTCGCCGTACGTAAGATCACACTGATTTCAACGTACGTAAGAGCACACTGATTTCAACGTACGTAAAATCACACTGATTTCAACGTATGTAAGATCCCTCTGATTTCAACGTACGTAAGATCACATTGATTTCAACGTACGTAAGATCACACTAATTTCAACGTACGTAAGAGCACACTGATTTCAACGTACGTAAGAGCACACTGATTTCAACGTACGTAAGATCACTCTGATTTCAACATACGTAAGATCACTCTGATTTCAACGTACGTAAGATCACACTGATTTCAACGTACGTAAGATCACACTGATTTCAACGTACGTAAGAGCACACTGATTTCAACGTACGTAAAATCACACTGATTTCAACGTATGTAAGATCCCTCTGATTTCAACGTACTAAGATCACACTGATTTCAACGTACGTAAGATCACACTGATTTCAACGTACGTAAGAGCACACTGATTTCAACGTACGTAAGAGCACACTGATTTCAACGTACGTAAGAGAACACTGATTTCAACGTACGTAAAATCACACTGATTTCAATGTATGTAAGATCCCTCTGATTTCAACGTACGCAAGATCACACTGATTTCAACGTACGTAAGATCACACTGATTTCAACGTACGTAAGATCACACTAATTTCAACGTACGTAAGATCACACTGATTTCAACGTACTGGAGATCACACTGGCATTTCAACGTACGGGAGATCACACTGAGTGCGGCACATGTAATAAATGGACGGATGTTGTTATCTTTTAAAATAATTTTGTTTTAATTTTTTGTTTTATTTTCCCTATAACTTACCATGTTTGTCTCTATCGCATACCCAGGCTCGATAAGCTTTGTCTTTATTTTAATATTGGTTATGGAAATTATAAAACAAAAAATGTGGGATTGTTTTATAGTATGGGTTGTGTAACGGCGAAGCACGCCGGGAATGTGGGAGTTGTCTTATACTGTGAGTTCGAATGACGCACGGATTCTTGTGGGAGATGTCTCAACTTATTAGTTCCGGGTGAAGCACAAAATGGGGGAGACGTCTCAAATTAATATTTCGGGCGAAGCACTGAATGTGGGGGATATCATAAATTATTAGATGGGATGAAGCATGGAATGTGAAATGCGGGCGTTGTCTTACAATATGACTTCCAATGAAGCAGTGAGTGTGGGAGATGTCTTAAATTATTAGTTCGGGTGAAGCATGGAATGTGAAATGTGGGCGTTGTCTTATAATGTGACTTCCAATGAAGCACTGAGTGTGGGAGATGTCTTAAATTATTAGTTCGGGTGAAGCATGGAATGTGAAATGTGGGCGTTGTCTTATACTATGACTTCCAATGAAGCACGGATTGTGGTGAGATGTCTCAACTTATTAGTTCCGGGTGAAGCACAAAATGGGGGAGATGGCTCAAATTAATATTTCGGGCGAAGCACTAGGCTGAATGTGGGGTGTCTTAAATTATTAGTTTGGGTGAATCATGGAATGTGAAATGTGGGAGTTTTCTCATATTTTCACTCTGTGTATAATTTCACTGGTCTGCTGCTTTATGACGTGTATTCAAATCACGTGACACTAATTGCAGACTCATTGCTGTTAATTCGTAATAATAAAAATATTGACACTACTTATTTTCAATTGGATATGTTAATATAAAATAAACCAATAACAAAAATGTAAATACACATACATGATACATATGAGTGAAAATATTTATGAAATATTGCAATAATGTATATAAACTTCACCTTATTCTCTGTACAAATGAAATAGAGATTTGATGTTAAATCATCTTTCCGGCACTATTTAAAACAATATGACAATGAACCCGACTGAGGATGGCTTCTGATAAAACAAATGACAGACGTAAATGCCGTCATAATACAAACAAATGAACACAGGATGTTCGCAGTAATAAACTTTGGACTTTTCAAACCGACGCCTATCACGCCCAACCGGAAACTCAGTGCGGGAAGCCTATAGTCTCGCATAACGGTCAATAATTCTGGTTTTCATTGCATTCATTGCAATATTTATGCTTTCAGTTTTATGTTCATATTACAAGTAAAACATTCGTTTCGAGCATGGTCGAGAAAGCAGTGAAAAATATACACATACGTCATTTAGGGAAATGGTGGAACGATGGCTCGCACTCCTTCATAGATGCGTACCGTAACAAGTCGAGATTCAAATATGATTGTTTGTTTTAACACATTGGTGATAATAATGAGTCACCATAGCATGGACATTGTCTCCAAATGTATAAATCCAGAAATATAATCAACGAACACAATGTTTGGAACAGTCTTGCTGTGAATTTTACATGTTAATATACACCAATAGACGTAGCAATACAAAGTACGCAAACACGCATGTGTAAACTACAATGTTAGTATCTGCCTGGCGTCTGACGTCAGCATGCATTTAATGCATGATTACATATACCGTGACGTAAAGCCTTTTTACGCACTAATCTTTAAGTGGGTGACAAGTGATATTGTCAAAGACAAAGTTATTACTAGTGCGTATCAGTACGCACACTTTCTTATCTTTACTTGCCAATGTCAAAGGCCGTACTCGCCGCGTACTTGGTATGTTATCGGAACTTGCACACGAACTCGCTCCGGTTGCCCGGTCCGGTTGATGGTCTAGGTAGATCATTTGTTTAGTTTTGGTGGCCGGGTTAAAAATATCACACATACCATTTATCCCTTTGTATATGTAATATTTATTTCTCTGTACATATATACATTATACGTTACGTGCAGGGTTTTTATTTTTCTGTTTTGCTCGTTAATTGTGTGCAGCATATTTAGCACCCCGCACTCTAACCGCGTACACGCGCATACATATATAGAAATAATGGATCGTCAATTAGGTCAGCTACATCCAATTTAAACGTTTTAAATTCCCGCAAATCAATGCTGTGGTTGAGAAAACGCAATGTTTTGCCGTCACTGTCTTGGTTTTCATTTATTTTCAGGGGGCGTTTCTGTTTTATGACCTGCGTCGATGTAGTTGATCGACCTTGGGAATATACAGTGACAACGGGAAGCACAGTGATATAATGTACACAATTAACAAAATGCTTACTTGTATCCTTGGGTCCAGTTCGTCATTCTCAATAAATCCTCCGTCGTTCATGGCACATTGTGAAATGTTAGTCTCTGTCATTGTCGATTTAATGTACACAACTCAGACGTCCCCATTCCTTCTAGGTCACCGATAATAGCCAAAGGTCGTTCCAGCGAAGGGACCCCTAGGTGCGTGATAATGCAACTGTACAACGATAGCGTAGTAGGCAAATCGGTATCTATTTTTTTAATTATCACAATGAATCGGAAAATTGTATTTTCTTAAAGTGTTCTATCTCTGCAGAAACTAATTACTTCTTGTAACAAACAAAGTAAAAACAAATGAATAGAGATATGTGACTACTGAGGGCGCAATCACAGGCTAGAAATGGCGGTACATGTACTTTCTACATTCAAGAGCTCAGGGTGACGCTGATTATTGATTTTGGTAGGTTTATGTATTTGTTCTTGTTGTTCAAGTTTTATATTTCCATTTCTTCCTATCGTTACTGTACCCGTGTATCTTTGTTGTTTTACTCCAAGAAAGTTTATCGACGAACACAAACGTGTCGAGAATGCAGACGACAATATTTGTGATTTGTGCATTGTCAATGACACAGGCGCTCGGTACCTTTTGTAAATAATAATAGTAAATAAATAGTGAAAACAATTAATATCTCTCTCTATTCACCATGCCTGGCCTTTTTAATGATGAGTGATGCTGGTATGACGTTTACTTGTAAATAAATCTTTACAAATTTTCCAAAGTCACCAATCAGATAAAGTGTCACGTAACACACTTAAAAATTCAGGCTCATTTTTAACAAACCCAAAATTACTCCAGGTAATTTTGTTTGATAATTTCACAGGGTTCGTAGCGTTAGGAAAATCCTTTGAAAGTCTTTGGAGTTTTTGAGGTCTGGAAAGACTTTGAGTTGTCTTTAAATTACCGGAAAAATAAAAAAAAAAATATTTGAAAAGTCTTTATATTTCTTCATAGTTATTACCGTAATTCATTTTTAGAAAGGCATGTATTCTCTGCATAGAGTCTTTTCTTTATAAAGTGTTTCTACCCCAGTTCCGACAAGTGTCGGCAGTGATTCCTATCCCCGCGCCCTTTTATCATGTTGGCCTGAATTAAGGGTCAAAATGTCTTGAAAAAATGCAAGATAGTTTGGGAAAAGGTCTGGGAAAAGTCTTGGAAATCATTTGGCTCTTGGTGCTATTGACCCTGTTTTAATGTGTGTACTATTACAATTTTAGTACATACGTATTTTCTCACAAAAAATATATACCCATCAAATTTTAATAAGAGAATGCATTTTACCTGGAATTTTTGTAACTTATGAGGGAATCCTAAATCAACACAACTGGGGATTTTTCAATATTATGGGTTGCCCACTGGGAACTTCATTTGTATACGCTTTAAGATTGATTTTTTTTAATAACTTTTTCCCTGATAATTTTTAGTTTCTGTGTCGGATGAATTTGGATTTTGTCTGTCTGTCTCTAATGCATCAGAGCCATTTTTTGGCATGCTTTGATTAATCACATTCAAACATAACAGAAAAACAATTGTATGATGACTTACATATGCACATCGATTTGCATTACTATTTGATCAAATGTCTGTAAACGTGTCTGAAACAAGTTGGATTTCATTCCAATGAGTATCATACTTTACATTGGGTTACAGAACCACAGTGATACATATATATTGTCATTCAAATGACGAACATTCAGTGATATTATTTAACACAGGGGGTAATTAAGGAACTGCATTTCAAAAAGATTTTTTATATACAGCGAAAATTTATTCAACCTGACAATTCAAAATGAGCTGCATGTAGCATTTGGTTTTGTTTGATAATTTACTGAAACATAATTGAAAGCTTATCAAAGTTATAGCCGGTATAATATTTTATTAATGAGAATCTGTCATGCAAGGGTTTAACATGTTTATCAACACCAAGTGACTAGTGTAACCTTATATAAATTCAGAGTAATCAACGTCAGTCATGTTTCTAATAATCATCTGTTAGATTGAATTACGTTTCCAGGGCCCCCTCCCTTTCCCTGCAATATAGATGCAGCCATGCAACCTTTGGTCAAAATTAACTCCACTTCTGTAGCTCTCTTGGTTCATTGTAGTTCACTGTACTGGTCTCCATTTCTTGTCATTATTATAGCGTTATATCACTACATTTCATTTCCCGGCCTTGAAACCTGATGCAATAATTTTCATATCACGCCCACCATGTTTGACCATATTTATACAAATAAATTCCATTCATGAGTGAATAAATGAAAGTAAATAAAAAAAACAGTAGTTTGAATCTATTGCATTTATTTTGGGCTTGCCCATACCAAAATGAAAGGAAAGTCATAGTAATAGCAAAATGTCATTCGTCGATGACGTCTTTGTGAATTTTCTGGCTGGCGACAGAACTTTCTGTAACGTATTAAAACAGACTACAGCTTGATGGTGCTGCATTTTATTATCTGCCATATTTACCTGTAATTTTTTTCAATATTTGTTATGAAACAACATTTGACAATCACTGCATAATTTGCAAGTCAGAGTGTTAAACAGCAAAATTGAAACTCATTCTGTTGGTGAATTAGTGTCGGATGATAGTGTTACAGGGGATGTTGCATCTACTGTTGAATATGTAGAGGAGTAAGAGTCTGAACCAAGATGGTCATGGAGTGCCGATCAAGATAGCGGTTAGAGTGGGAACAAATTTAAACTGCATTGGTCAAAGATATGTTTGTGGGTAGAATGCAACCAGGATGAAAATCATGTTTTGTATATACTGTAGCACACATCCCAATGAAGATGAGTGTGTGTGATTGAATTGGCATGATATCGTATGATTACTGTCTGCACACTAGTTATATTATATATGCCTAGATAAATATCTGAAAAAACACAAACTTCTGTTTCTGTGTAGTTTATTATGCATTTGTAAAACAATAAATTCAACAATTTCGTACTTGGCTACTAAATTTTTCAGTTGGCCACCAACAATTCAAAGTTTGTTCGCAAATGGCCACTAGGATAAAAAAAAAAAATTTTGAGAACTGTTCTTTATTTAAGTTCCATCAATATATACTCAGTGAAACAAAACAAAATACAAATCAATGTAAAGAGACATACTATATCAGCTTCATCATTACCCAATGACATTACGTAACTCAAGGTTCTGGAATGCTTGTACCCATTTGCATGCATGCATCTCCACCTGTATCTTGGACATGCCTGGACTATTATTATTCAAATTTCACACATGCATCATACGTCTAATTGGGAGACATGCACATCGATTTGTTCCATGATCTGATTCAAGATTGACAAATGAGAACCATTTTTATGTTTAAAATTCATCAAAATCATTCCTGCTATTCCAGAAGCAGATCTCTATCATGAATAAATGGATTACATACATACATATTTAGATGCACATCATTTTGTTTTTCATATCTAATTTAAAATGGCTGACAGGAGATCTTTTTGTTATTAGAAATGCTGTACCTAAATGATACCTCTGACATGCTTTGGCCCATCAGGTTTAAACTTTACATACCCAATACATGTTTGACGATCAGATTCAAGATGGGCGAATAGCAACCATTTTGAATGTTAAAAATTTAGTAAAATCAAACATTTTTGCTATTCTGGAGCGAACTCTTGGGCGTTTATGGATGGATTTCAGGCAAAATTTGGCAAAAGTACATGTACATTAATTGGACATCAAGGGACCTTATGTACGTCATTCAAAATGATTGACTAGTAGCAATTTTGTTTTAATAAAAGCCGTTCAAGAGTTGTATGTATCTCTGACATGCCTTGACTGATCATATTCAAACTTTATTTCATATATGTCACACATACATGGCTGAATGGCAGTCATTTTAATGTTACCAGTGTTATATTTTGATACACAAAAATGAAATTTTCTAATATGATACATACGTAACTGATTTGAAAGCATATTTCTTGATTCTAATCAGTGGTGCACCCTCTAGTTGTTCTGTGCAGTCATTGAATACAATATAAACATTGTGTTATTTGTGTGAATAAGAAACTCAATATCATACAGCAGCACCATACATTGACTGATTCCTGTCTCAAATGTCATGGCATACCAAGTCACAAGAGACAGTAACTAGTAATGGGTACTGCATTCTGATTGGTCAATCACGTTCTCATTCTTTGTTCTATTTCCCTTGATTTGCTATATCTGCATTACCCTCGTGGTCTTTTTATATATAAAGCAAGGTTTTCCTCTAGCTCTCAAAAGATGCAGAAATATAAAACTGTTTCGTTTGTTATCACTTTGCACAAAAATAGTAAGAATTAATTGTCAGAACCACCTAAAGTATGAACTACGCAGGAGGAATGAATCCACTTTGGTTATCCCTTATTTGTTATGCTGTAAAATTAAGTATTAGTAAGGACTCATATGTAAAAAGTGTGATCAAGTCTCAGGTATATTAACTATGAGAACTAAATTTATTTAAACTAGAATGCTATACAGAAGTACAAATAATTGTCATTTTCGATAAAGACAGGCACTTTTCACAGATTTGATATTTCATGTCACGAGAATGAAGAAAATGGATGTACACACTGGAGTGAGTGTTTCCTATGAAATTAATATATCTTAATAGCTCAATATTTTGCTCAGTGACATATGGTGAAAAAAGGTTATATAATGTCTTACATGGTACTTTCTAGAAGTATTAAAAAATTGACAACATTTTTGAGAAGTTTTTATCAAGGAATGTGTTTTCTTTGTACTTGATAGAAACCGCTCCTAAAATAACATTTTATGCATATTGTTTTACCATTTTTCTCAAAAACAGATTGACAGTGAATTAAAAAAATCACTTTCTGTTGACTAATACTGAAACGAATAAGTGTAGACAGATTTTGTTACGAAATATTGCTAATGCCATATGTGCTAAAAAGAATGGGAGTAGCATTCTACCTATATATAAAATATAATCCATGAGTACTCTTTACCAAAGCATTTATTCCTATGGAGTATTCCAGTTATGAGTTTATTAAGTCTATTTCACGAGCACTTTTTGTAATGGATTGTGTAAATATGTCACTGTCTTCTCAGCCATCTTACTGTTTGAAAAAAGGCTCCCCATTCCTTAATTCACCTTCAGAGTGAGTTTTTAATACTGTACATTGCCAAGTGGTAACTATGGTACATATATATTTATATTCTTTCTTTAAACGTTTTTTTTTTTCTGAGTAAAGCTTAATATTAATAATAATTAAACAAATTCAACTGTTTATAGTTCAAAATACATGTGATCTGCAGACCCAAGCATTTAAATGTCACGGGTGAGGTGTTAAATGCATCACATGCAGATAATGTTCAAATGTCTTAGTACTGTAGTTCATTAACCTTAATTTTTTAATAGTCATTAGAAGAAATTCACAAATTTCTTCTAGTATGTATCAAACCTGACCTAATTTAAGCTGAATTCTAATCTGATGAATCATAAAGTGAATAAACTTGACCCTGCCCGCCTGCCAGGCATCTGCAAGGTCAGGTGGAAAAATGTAACTGACAGTAGAACCCCAAGGTAAAATTGATGGTTTGCCTTTAATGAATTTCACATTTCTGTGACCTTCTGGATGACTTTCAATTACTGTACATTTCTGATCTTTGTTGAAATTCAATGACTGGCTGTTCTCCTTTTTTGCTCTGGTAGAAGTATTTTACCGGTACCCTAGTTTTTCAGTCATGTAATTAATTATATAAATAGTATTGCAGTGATAGAATTATTTTCTGAAAAATAAACATTCCCATATTCAATTACTACCGGTAGTTTGATTATCAAAGTATAAAGATGGTGATTAAAAAAAAACATCGTAAGCAATTTGAATTCTGTCTGACTGATTTAGAGAAAATTACAGGAAATATGAAAACATTATAAAAAGCTGATGAGGTCAAAAATTAGAAAAGCAAAATATGGTGGGTTGCACAATTTGGGTTATATAAAATCTTGTCAGTTAAAAATTAGTTAGTTAAAATTTAGATGAAAATATTAAACCTAGTTGGTTTTTAATAAATATTTATTTTGAAAAATACAATTTTGATGTTACATTACACAGTTGCGAGTTAAAATCCAGTGTGTTTAAGTAGAAAATTGAGTTAAATATCTGGTTGGAAAAATTTGATGGGTTAAAATCTTATGCAATTAAATTTTAGAACAGGTTATAAATCTCTTAGTCACAGATTAATTGTCTTATACATACCTTTGTCCATGTAGTGTCACCAGTATCTATAACTTCTTAATGGAAACTCCAGGACCTTCCAATGACAACAAATGTTCAAAAGGTGATGTTTATGAGTTTATTGACTCACAAGAAACAGACAAAAAACATGTGACCAAGAAAAAACCTAAACAACTGAAGGTATGTCAGTATTAATCCAAGCTTTTGTTTTCTGAAATTTACAAAACAGTATGACATTCATATTGTAAGAATTCATATAAATATGCAATGTGAGAGACCCTACATGCAGGGTTATAGCCAGAAAATAGAAAGTACCTATCTGTCTTTATCAAAATGAAAGATAGCATTCCCTGTAACCATGTATATATATTTGATGATTTATTTAGTGGTAATTTTCAATCCAAATTGGACAGGTTTGTAGAAATTTTGTCTGTCAAATAACATTTTATACCTGTCTAAATTGTGTTGTGATTGTCTAAAATAACAGGTGCTACAAGCGTGCCATGGGAATCCAATAATGTTATAATATTATTAGTAGTGGAAAAAGTTTCATACAAAGACATATTGTATAAAATAAATCCTGCAACTGTGTTGGTTTATATTTTGCAGGCACAGGTTGTTAACGAAGTACTTAATCTTATTTGTAAAACTAAAGAAAGTTTACAGCATCTGAGAGAAGTGGAGAAAGATTTGATACAGGAGGTGGAAGCAGGTAAATTTTATATATCCATATTTGTTTGCAAGGAGGTTATAAGTCAAATGTCACCCCAAGTCTTAAGTGGGCCTAGTTTGGGGTCTAAACATAAAATGTGCATATATAACTACTGAATTAAATTGACATTGCACTCATATCTGAAGAGTTTCTTGTCATTGCTATTACTATAAAATCTGTATTAGAAGCCCAAGCTTCTATTAAAATGGTACAATGCAACAAAAGGGATGCGGCTTCTATTAGAGCATCTACACATATGAGAAATGGTGAATTTTTGGTTAGAGATTTACTTTTTTGAAATATTTATTGGCAGACTGACCACAAAATTCAAACAGATCAGACTACACAGTGGTAATGATTTATTAATATTAATCATGCATCTTTCGACGCTAACATTAATACATTAATGATTGTTAATAACTACAATAATCTCTAGCTTACTTCAAAGTCAGTTTTAGAGAACATTTTTTATCTTTACTGTAAATGTACATGGCCTCTAGCAGTTAAGATTTTCGTCAGATAAAGTCTGTGCAAATTAACTCAGACCTCAATAGCCTTGCAAAGTTGCTGGAAGGAATGTAGATTTCACCATGGACTTCAGTTACCTGTATTTTTTCTTTCAAAATTTAATTAGGGATTGGTATTGAGTCTGTGCTTCCACAGGTAACAAACTTCTCTCTGGGATTAATAAGAACATCCTCACACAGGAATATTTACTACCTTATACTAAAATATGTTTGGATAGTTAGGGTACTAATAAATTCCCACAGGGAGTGTTTCGCGATTTCTGCCTTGGCTTAATTATTTGCTGAGGGACGGCTTAGGTATGGCTCTGTAACTAGCATCTCAACTTAAAAATGTTAAGTAATCAAACAAAAATGACATTGTACTAACATCCAAAAAGTTAGTTCAAGGTCTTCACTTTTTGTTAGCATAAACACGATTTGCTCCCTCGCTTATTATGACACCCTCAAATTGACTGATTTTCATTCCCCTCACAAGTCCACAATGATATATTCCTCTATTTTTTTGCTTGTTCATTTGCTTTCAATAACGTTTCAGTGGCTGTCACTGTCGTATTTTGAGTCTTGCCGATAATATTTTGGTTCAAATTCACGTAGCTAATAATCACCGAGAAAACTCAAACAAATTTTTCACTAACATACCGGAAGTTGTTGTGTCGTAATATTGAATTTTTCCGACAACTCTTATACAACATTTAAATCTTAGTAGGGAAAATTCACTCGCATTAAATTGCGTTCACCATGCTAGGCAATCAAAAAATGTATTTGCACTAAAGTACGTTCAAGATCTGTTCTTTCTCATAGCATAAACACTGGTTTTACCCTCGCTTAGCCAGACTTTTATTATCCCTTGTTTCGCAAACCCTGCCGAATGAACAGGAGCCGAAAATGAAATAAAAATATAATTTCTCGTGCCCGCCGACTTCTAAGTGCAAAAAATTGCTAAAAAAAACTTATTTTTATCTTTATTTTTTTTCGCCCGCCGCATAACAAACCCAAGTTGCATTTTCGTGGGAGTATCATGATCAAAGTACCAAAGTCTCATGCAGATGAGAAACAAGGTTATACATGGAATACCATTTTATTTCATTTCATCTCTCCTATCAATGATCTTACTTACAATTTTTTGAGAATCACACAAATCTAATGGAAAAAAAGAATTAATTTTTTTTTTTTTGCCCTCCTCAAAAAAATTGCCTTATAAAAACTTGAGAAACAAGAAATAAAAAAAGTCTGGCCTTACTAAAATTAAAATATGATTGGGGTCACCGTCACTGTAGCTATCGCTGCTGTAAATCTTGATTATAATTCTCGTCCAAATAATTCACGTCCCAAATTTTGGTTCCCTGGCGCCTCTAATAAATAAGCTTTATTACAGCTGGGCTGAATCAATGATATACTAGTATCACCCAAAAAATGGATGATTGGGCAAAAAGCCATTTACGCTAAATTTTGATTCCTCGGGTGCCTCTAATAAATAACCTATCTAAGCGCTGGGCTGAATCTTTCATATCGCCAAATAAACATGGAAGAATGGGTGAACATTCGGTGTGATATTGCATTGTATTGTGTTTTTAGAGTCCCTCAATTTTGTTTCAAAGTCCGCAGTCACACGGAGATAACCAGAAAATTGAAAACTTCATCGCAACGTTTTCGGATTCCCTCAAACTTGTTTTGACCTTTGTTACCTATTCCCACATCAGAGTGAATTACAGCATTAAATATTTGTTCCCCGGGATTCTTCACTGGTATTTTTACTCAGAAACGCAAGAGCCATAAGACTTGATTTCCAAGGACATAGGTTGTTTGGATTGAACGATTTCTGTTGTTTCAAGTTTGTTGTATGCCTAGAAACTTGGCAATATTGTTATTTTGGTGAATATATAGAACATGTCCTATTCAAATAAAAGATTTTGATATGCTAAATGAACAACTTGTACTGGCATGTCTCCAGTATAAAAAGTCCTCTAGTCTCCGAAATTTGACAATGGCACTAGCCCAAAATAACTTCCTTTAAAAACACACTCTCAAACTTGACAACATTTAGTATTGTTTATTTCTATGCAATTGTGATTCTTAATTTCTATGTGTAACATATCACTGGTATGGACAGCGACGGCTGACAGACTATTTTGATTCTGTAAACTTTCTTTACACGGGCAACTGACTTTTATCTTTTTGTTACCATTCTGACTTTTTCTCGGTCGAATTTTACACTGATAAATAAGTATTAAGTAAGTAAACGAGCCGGTGCATAGTCAACATGAGACTATGGATAACAGGTAGGCCCTGAAGGTAGCGTCAACATACAGCATTAATGGGCAAGTGACAATCCCTTTTTAGCTCCCCTGTCGAGGAAGTCCAGCGGAGCTTATAGTATTACTGATTGTCCGCCGTCGTCAACTTTACATTTTCGACTTCTTCTTAAGAATCACAAACTGTATAGCTATGAAACTTTCTAGGTAGGTACCTCTCAGATTTGTTCATTCGTGTGGATATGTTCAATTGTCTTATTTATAGCGAATATTTTTGTCATTTTTGGTAAAAAATGCTATTTTCGACTTGTTCTTGAAAACCCCTAGCCCAAATGCTTTGATACTTGGTATGTAGGTACCTTGGGTGAACCTCTCTCAGATTTGTTCATTTCATGATGATATCTTCATTTCTTTAATTTTGATGAATATTTTTTCCATTTTTGGTAAAAAATTATATTTTCGACTTCTCCTTGAAAACTGCTAGTCTGATTGCTTTGATATTGTATATGTAGGTACATCAGGTGGATGTCTGTCAGATTTGTTGATTTTGTGACATCTTCAATTCTTTAATTTTGATGAATATTTTTTGTAATTTTTGGTAAAAAGTGATATTTTCGACTTCTTGTTAAAAACCTGAAGTCTAATTGCTTTGATATTACATATCTAGGTACTCTTTCAGATTTGTTCATTTTGTGATGATATCTTTAATTCTCTAATTTTGATGAATATTTTTTGTCATTTTTGGTAAAAAGTTATATTTTCGACTTCTTGTTAAAAACCAAAAGTCCAATTGCTTTGATATTAAATATCTAGGTACTACATGTGGACCTCTCTCAGATTTGTTCATTTTGTGATGATATCTTTAATTCTCTAATTTTCATAAATATTGGATTTTGGATTACCGATAGTTAAAATTTTGCCAACATGTGACATTATATATAACTGGTGGATGGAATTACCAAGCCATTTTTATGAAATAGTGAACAAATATTTTCGTAACACACACTAACCGTGAAATACACCCATCATTGTCGCTGATGGAATATTTTATATTGCAATTTCTTAATTTCATTTTGTTTTATTGCAACACATTAGTGACCCCTCCCTAAATCGCGGGTGTCGGGATCCAAGCAAAAACGCAACATATCGGGGTTTGTTAGAGTGGGATTCATGCGTTGAAAATGGATAAATAGCACATATACACACATAGAGCTATATCAAGGGCAGTATGTAAGTATGTAAAGTCGCGATTTGTCGCGTCTGACACCTTTCAACACCTTGAGTCAGGCGGCTGTCACCCTTTGTATCTCAGTAATTGACAGACAGTAAGTGTTTAGTTGTCTCCTCCAGCTTTGTTACGGCCAATTAAATACAAGATGCAACGAAACATTAGTTCTTTTACTTACTGGGATGTAACTTTTACTTACTTCTGTTACATCCGAGTTAACGTATACAAATTTTATAGCTTACAAAATATTTGTAGACTATTGTCAAGTAATATGAGAGGGTGCACTAGAAACTAGCTAGGATATATACATCCCAGTTAACGTATACGCATTCGTACTACCTTATACTAAAATATGAAGTTACCACTAATTCTCATTAAGGTGTATCATTTATGCATATAACTACATATCTCATATACCGGTACTTTGTATCAGTTAAATTATACATGGTATTCCCAGATTAACACCAGTTGTTAATGGCACATACAACATTGGATTCTCAACTCCGATGGAAAGTCTTAAGTTTCTGCCACTCACGGCGAAAGCCAATCAGTGCTAAGCCAATCATTGCGAAGCTACTAGTTACTTATGGTTAAATATAAATATCTCTCAAAAATAAAATTGTATGTTATTTACACCTAACTTTGCAGATCATGGTATCATAAATTATATAATAATGATGATGGCAAATAAAATGTATTTGCTTACCCACAATGCACCATTTCTGTGACAAATATAATATCACATATCTCTCAAAAATAAAATTCTATGTTACTTAAACATAACTTTGCAGATCACAGTTTTAAAAATTACATAATAATATAATAATGAGAAATAAGTCATACAATAACAATAACAAATTTCATTTGTTTACCCACAATGCACCCTTCTTCACATATATATCTACCAAAAAAAATTCTACTTTAACTAATTTTGCAGATCATGATGTCAAAAATTACATAGCGATAAGAAATAATTCATACAATAATAAACAAAGTGCCAGTGTGCTTACGTATAATGCACCATTCTCATGAATGTATTTTTTATTTGGCCCACAGGAAGAAAATTTGGAAAGAAGAAATCAGAGGAGCCTAATTCTCGATCATGTGATGTTTTCTCTAGAAAGAGACCTCTTGAAGTTTCAGTTTCAAATGTACCTTTAGTGGACCAGAAAAACAGCAAGGTATTTATTTTCAGGTTTAACAAGTATATACATGTATGTACCATCCTTCTGTAATCACAAGTTATGGCACTAGATAGATGAAGTGATAAAACACAGACAACACACAAATCAAAGTATTTATAGATGTTGATGGTGGGGCAAATTCAATAAAAATGTTATATACTTGGAACGTTAGCTCACAGGTGCACTTTTGTCTGAAACAAGGACAAGGTTTTGTCTCTGAAGTGTGCATCTGTGTGTCCATCCATGCATGCGTTTGATTATCTCGAACACCCCTGAAGAACTCTTTTCAAACCTCAAACATACTTAATACCTTAACTGATACATATAGCATGCAATGAATTCATGATTTGGTCAAAGACAGTTATCTGACGGCACTTTTTTTTAAATCACTAAATATAGCTATTTGACATGTCCAAAACCATATCTCAGGCATGTGTTGGCCGATGACAGGCCATTTTGTTTTTGACAAGTACTATTTTAGACATATATCTTGTACTTGCTATGTGCTATTCAATTCAAATATTATACATAAACATCCTTTCAAAGATGGCCAACTGCTGATTTTAGTTGTAAAAAAACACTAAAATCAGGTATATTTACATGTCTAGAATCCTATTTCAGGCTTGTGTAAATTCAACTTCAAATTGTAGTCTAGACTGACATGTACCGGTATATCTTGTACTGCCTTCAAGCAATGCAGTTTATACCTATAAATTGTCCATCATGGCGCATACGGATAATGTTGTCATCTGATCAAAAATGGCCGACTGCTGACTGCTAGATCTTGGGCTTTAATTGTTGATTTACTTCAAACATGGTCGACAGAAATACCATTATGGGTAGTTAATTGATGCATGTCAATTTGCAAATTCATTTTTAGATGGCCTGACTGGTGGCCATTTTCCCTTTGACAAGTTGTATACCAGACAGGTATATCTTGTACTGGCTTCAAGCAATGCGCTTCAAAATTTATACCTACAAATTGTCCATTGTGGCATATTCAATAATGTTGTCATCTGATCAAAAACAGCCGACTGCTCACTTTGCTAGTTGGGTCAGGTCGTATCTCCCATGGTGCAGTGAGACTTCCTGTGACCCCTGACCAGTTTTATCGTTGTGTAGTTTGTTTACAAAGTTCTTGTTTCGCATACAACATGTATCGTTTTTGGGGGATATACCCTCCATCAAAGAAACATAAGTCAAGCATTGACTGTGAATTGCGGCAAATAAGAGTATGACCATTCCAAATGTACATGTTAAATCATTCCAAGCTGGAAGACCGAGTTCAAGGAATGGCTGGTCACCGATTACGGTGTATTGCTGTTTCTGCCGGGCTATTTATGGGCCATTATCAAACCACAAAATACCAGACAAACTCAGTAATCAGGGATCGTTTGATTAGATTCTGACTATGGTTCAGATTTTTCTCATCTAGCTGAGAGCAATAGTGACACAGACGTCTGATATACATGTACACCATGTTCTGAATATGCATGTTTTCTACAGCTACTTTGTTGTTAAAATAAACCATGCATAGTATATTGTATACAACTTGTGTGTGTGCGAAAATAATTGTGCGGGACTGGTAACAATTTAGCAGGGCTTGTAACTTTTGAAAGGTACCAGAATTTGAAAGTTACCATATACACCATTAGACGGATTTAAATGGAACTTGGTACATAGATGTTCTTGGATAATAGACAGTACTGACTAGTTTTGGTTTAAACCTTGTGCATATTAATCATCCAATTAGCCAATGATTAGCCAATTTTAAGCATTTTCACTCGTTTCTCAAGTACTATTCAACAGATTTTAATGATACATGGTACATAAACACTCTAGGATAATACTCAGACCTGATAAAATCATATGCATGTTTAGTTTAGGGTTAAATTTTGAACTTACTAATTATCTAATTTGCACATACATGTAGGTGCTTTTAAATAATCCACAGATCTGTTTACTTCAAGGTTAAAATCCATGCATACTAATTACCTGTTATTAGTTTTATATGTGTTTCCTAATATTCATAACTTCAAAGTACTATTAAAGTACTGTTGCAGATAGGGACATGCAACTGGTGCTATAATTTTGTGGTCTGACAAGATATATAACCAAAATATTAAGTCATATATGGTCATTATTTCATTAAATACAATGTATTTATAATTGATAAACTATAGTTACTTGGACCACCCTGATTATTTTGTCTATTAAAAACACATATGCCTGCTGTAAAAATAAAGGATAAGGATAAGTCTATGGTCAAAATAAGACGTATTTCAATGATTTTGCATTCAATAATTACAATGCTTTATGTGTAATGAAGATGTGCTTCTAATATAGTAATAAATGCAGTATTCCTTAATTGTTTTTCATGCCTCCAATACCAGCACACGGGAGTTCTTTATAATATTTTCTTAAAAAGGAAGTAACCATTACTGGAGGCTGATGCATGTCACATTAAATGTAAACTTATCATGCTGGCTGACTCACCCATCTATCAGGTCACTCAAGTTCTGCAACATATGTTTTGTTGCTATTCTTGAACTTATAAAATGGTCACTATGTGCATGCAGCACTAGAAGCTAAATTATCTTCAAATGTGTATAGTTTTGAAAATGAACACAAATAAATTATGTGCTTTGATCATTTAATGAGTCCACAATGATGAATAGAACCCTTTATCCTAATAATTTGTGCTATGACATTTGTTTTCTTGCTATAAACATGATATTATTCATTGTCATGAGCATAACTCTATAGTGATGTATACCATGAGATATAGGTTTTCACATATTCCATGTACGCAACCAAAACTACTCATATTACTCACTTTATAACAATCAAAAAACATAATATCTTTATGGTCTTTAAAATTAAGTACGCAAGAGGGACTGTGCATTGCAAAATACTTTGTGTGATCAAAATGAAAAACTGACAGCCAATTTTTTCTTACTATGTACTTATCGGCTAACTGCTTGCAGTAAATCTCACTAAATGCTATTGGCAGCCATAAAATCCTGATACTACAATTTGATCACTGCTGTTTGTCAGAGATGACTTGATTTTACTCAACTTTGCAATGACAGTACATAGTACTATTTTGCATATACGTATAAACATATTTTTGTTATGATTGTTTATTTCACACCATCTGTGTTCAAAAACAGTGAATATCTACGGTTTTTGACTCCCGTGTGCGAAGCACAAAAAGGGAGTCTTTGCAGTTAGTGTGTCTGTCTGTGTGTCTGTGTGTGTGTGTCTGTTCCACTGATATCTCAAGAACCATACATTGATTTTTGATGAAATTTAGTGCATAGATGCTCTGGGCCAATGCGCAGATTTTATCAGGTTTTGGTAAAAAGCCATGCATATTAATTACATAATTTGCATGATAATTAGCTGATTTCTAGCTGTTCCATGACTGTTCCACTGATATCTAGAGAACCACTCATTGGATTTTAATAAAACTTGGCACATAGATGCTCCAAACTAATGCACAGATTTGATTAGTTTTGGGTAAAAATCTATGCAATATTAATTACCTAATTTGTATAATGATTAATCAATTTTCGGCTTTTCCACTGATATCTCAAGTACTAATCATCACATTTCAATAAAACTTGCTACATAGATCTTCTAGGACTATGCAGAGACCTGATTAGTTTTAATTGGATATTAATTACCTAATTTGCGTAATGTTCCAATGATATATAAAAAACTACGAATCGGATTTTAATGAAAGTTTTAAAGAGAACTATGCAGAGACCCAATTAGTTTTTGGTAAATATTTATGCTTATTAATCACCTAATTAACATAATTAATTAACACTGATATCTCAATTACTGATCATCACATTTGAATAAAATTTGGTACATAAATGCTCTAGGACAATAGACAGGCCTGATTAATTTTGGGTTAAAATTTGTTCATAATAATTCTCTAATTAGGATAATAATTCATAATTTTCTTTTGTTCTGTTCATATTAGTTACATGTACCTGATTTACATAATTAGTTTTCAGCTTTTCCATCAATATTTCATGTACAAGTAATTTTGAATTAATTTTTAATGTGTCTTCAATACTCTCAGCACACGTTAGTTCTTTCTAAGCTTTCTTTGATTATTATTTATAAGTTAAATAATTGCCATAATACACAAAGTTATATCTAATACTTATATATTAACATTGGCATATTCTTAGTTTCTATAACATATATGAGACGTAAATGAAAAACAAAATTATACAATTATTTTGATTTGTCTGTTTTTTCATCACTTCATGCCATGAAAAACAGCTAATTGTGTTGGATTTATGATCCTTGTCTTTCATGCTCTGTAATGAATGATTTCCCCATTAGCAGAATTTTATTTATTGTGCTCTACCTGCCAGTATTTTATGAATTATTTCAAAAATCTTTGCTCCCTACAGTTTGCATCATTCTTCTTATCCGACATATACTACCAAGCTTCTCAATTTGCCAGTAAATAAATGGTTATTTGTGTAACAGAATTTATACCTCATTTCAGGGATTTGCTGTGTTTTACATTAATATGATGCTATTGCCAAGATGGTGCAAAGTATGCATGACTGAGTGCATACTTTGCAGTGTACTTGAATAATCTTATTACTATAGATCTTTTTGATCCAACTGATTCGTGTAGGATTAGGCGAAAAAAAAAATTGTTTTGTTGCTCTCAGCGACCAACGGAAAAATATGAAATATCGGGTCGCTTTTTTTTTTTTTAATAGGCCCAAATATTAAAACTCACCATTTAAAGCAGTAAAAAGGTCTTTTCTCTAAAAATTAACGATCCTGGATCGTTGTTTGATCCCCAGGGTCCTTGTGAGGATAAGTGTTGACTTTTAACCTTGGACGTGTACAGCAAGCTGTTGCCCAGGGGCAGCAATAGCATTAGCTGAAGGAAGAGCGGAGGACAGTGTTGTTTAAGGAAAAGACCAAAACAATGTGCTGATGGAAATAAAAATATA